GAACACAAGATGAAGAAGGAGGACATAAAGCAAACGCAGAACAGCATTCAGCTGCCCCCTCCCCGCCCGCGACAGAGGGAGTCCAGGCTCGCACGCCTCTGGTTCCAGTACTGTCTTCTCACCGGTTCCTGGGCCATCGAGCCCTGGGAGAAAGTCCTGTTCCGTACGCCCCCCGTTCGTCTGATTAAAATCGCAAGCTCTCACCATGGCCTTTGGCGACAGATTCCATCGTCTTCCTCATCGTGTTCTTCTTCCTGCGCATCGTCTACAACGCGATCTCGGGATTCCTCTTTTAATTCCGCTCCGAATTTTTGGCTTTTTTCAATCGGCATGGAGGTGAGCCAGCAAATCATCCTGAACGAATGAACCGCGGTTAGATCTACAACAGGATGCGGATTTCGTATTTATTATTTGTAGAATAAATGCATGGGCCACACATCACAGCATCATCGTTGTCTTCGATCAAACGACAGTGCGTTTCTGGTGTTTCCTCCTTTCCCCACTAATGGCCCAATCATTTCAACTATGCGCCCACGACGAAGCTCATAATGCCGGAGATTCTGGTTGCGGCGAACGAACAAGAACTGCAACGCTCCCAACCCAACAACCCAAAGTCCCAAGAGCGCACCAACACAGACACTTTCCTTCTTCTTCACGAGGCGGCGTACCACGACGTGTGAGCGAAGCGGCACAAGTAGAGCCAAGGCGCTTACTCACAGGTTCGCTTCTCCTCTTTCTGTGGTGGCGTAGTTCTACACGCGCGGGTCTTTTCGGTTGCTCGTCTACGCTAGGGCCCTCCTCTGGATCACAAACAAATCAGAAGGTGGCCGATGGCAACAACCATGGCCTCGCTGCATCTACTCCCTCTTTTGGAGGTGCACCCCGCGCACCACCACGCAACTATAAAATTTTTATGGTTGTTCGTTGTTGTGGGGTTGTTGCACGTTTGCTGCTGCCGCTGGCATTGTTGTGAGTGCTGGCAGCATGGCCTGCGCTAAGCCGTATGTGGTGCCCTGCCTGCTACAGTCTGTCTCCTCCGCTCCGCAGCACTCGCCCTTGCGTGCAGCTCCAGCAGCCCACATCCGACGCGACCTCACCACAGCCGGCACCGCAATCATGCAGTCCCTCGTCAGCGACTCATACATACGCCCCACAGCGCGCTTCCGCCGCAGCGCCTCCTCCGCCGAGTGCGTGCTGCTCTCTCGCCCTTCCACCCGAACGCGCGCGTGTTATGCGTCGTGCAGCAGTGTGTCGTGTGTGACGTGTGTGTCGTGTGTCGTGTCGTTGAGACGTTAAATTGTTTGTACGTCGGCTGATCGTGTGCGTGACGCGTGCGCAGCCTGTCGGGGGAGGCCCATGATGGGGCGCCGGGAGCTTCGTCGAAGAAGCACAAGAAGCGGTCCCGCAGCAGTTCGCCGCCGCCGCGCCAGCGCTCCTCGACCTCGCTCGCCACACCGCTCCCCGAGTACCACCCAGCCCCCACCTTGCTGCCCGCCCTGCCTCCCGGCCTCACCCGCTATGTGATGTTGTTCGTTGGAATGTGTGTGGTATGCACACAGGGAGCGAGAGACGGAGACGGAGATGGAGGCGGCGTCGCACGTCGTCCATCGGGAGTGCCGGGCGGCGCCCCTCTCCCCCGAGCTCTCCGAGCAGCAGAACTTCCGGGGCCTGCTCAACCTGGGCGGGCTCATCATCGTACGCCTCCATCAAGAAGATCAGCTAGATAGATAGATAGATAGATAGTGATAGATAGATAGATACGTAGCTAACGACGTTGTATGTGATGATTGCGCCGGTGTGCGTGCAGTTCGTGACCAACTTCCGGTTGATCGTGGAGAACCTGCTCAAGTACGGGCTGCTCCTCAAGTTCGACGGCGCCCTCTGGACCTCGTGGCGTGCGTGGCCCTGCTGCTCCACTCTCCTGGGTACGCGCGGATCTCCTGTCCCACACCCGGGGTCGCCCCCGGCCTCCACCTCCTGATCGCCACCGTGCCAATTAATTTGTGGTTTTTCGGTGGTTGGGGGGGGGAATCTAGCAATGAATGCGTTCATTGTGATCAGCTACTGCCTGGAGCGGTACATGGCCGCCGAGGCGAAGAAGCCCGCCCTCAAGGTACGCCCGGCATTGTACAGCCCCCGCCGCCGCTGCGACCTCATCGTGGCGCTCGCCCCATGGACGCGGCCACGATAAAACAAAGCACGCCGCTTATTTGCTCTCGGTTGGGGTGGTGGTGCTGATGCTGCAGGGCCATCATGCCTGGCTGGCGCGGCTGGAGAAGAGGGTGGGCTGGCTGCACGCGTTCAACATCACCGCCATGTGCCTCGTCGTGCTCTTCGTCATCCAATACAACAACGTCGACCCCAGTACGCCCCCCCACACCCCGGTGACCGCCATCACCGCCACCTGCTGGTGGGCTGCATCAATGACGATTCTCACTCGATACACGCCTCACGCGCGCGGGGTTGGCTTGGCTTGCGCGGTGCTGCAGTGTCGGCGTTTGGGCTGCTGGTGGCCGCCATCGTGCTGGTCATGAAGCTCATCTCCTTCGCCACCACCAACAAGGTAGGTATTGGGCACAATACGCCCTCTCCCCCCCAAATCCTTCGGTGTGTGTGTGGCGTGTGTGGCGTGTGGCTGTCTTGGAGGATTAGACCCTGACAATGGCGGCGGGCGTGCGCAGGACCTGCGTAACCGGTTCTTGCGACCGCACCTCAAGCAGACCCGGGTGAAGGTCCCGGGCGGGGAGGGCCTCCGCTACCCGCAGAACATCAACCCCGGCAGTACGACGCCCCTCCCCCCCTTCCGATCCACACAAGGCGGCCCATTAACCAGCCAACGCAACGTCGGTGGTGGTGGTGGCAGACCTGTACTACTTCCTGGCGGCGCCCACCCTGTGCTACCAGATGGAGTACCCGCGCACCCCGCACATCCGCTGGTCCTACCTGGCCTCCCTCACCCTCCGATGGGTACGCCAATTATAGATATAGATATTAGTTCTACACTTAGATATAACTGAAACCTGTTTAGATATATTAGAGGTTTAATATCTATTCTCCAAAGTGCTAACGCCCCTCTCCTGGGTGGAACGGGCGGACGCGCGTGTGTGCATGTGTGCAGGTGTTCTTGAACCTGCTGATCTTGTTCATGGTGGAGCAATACCTGGTGCCGGCCATCAAGAACTCCATCGAGCCCCTCACCCAAATGCAGTTCGGGCACGTCCTCGAGCGCCTCCTCAAGCTCTCCGTACGCTTCCCTCCCAAGGCCTTAACAATTCTAGTAATACCATTGTTACGTTATTGTTATTATCATTATCATTCCTATCGTTTCCCCCCCCCTCGCTGACGTGAGCCGCGGCGACCGCGTGGGGGGGTGGTGTGCAGATCCCGAACCTGTACATCTGGCTGCTGTTCTTCTACAGTTTCTTCCACTGCTGGCTCAACATGCTCGCCGAAGTGCTCCGCTTCGGCGATCGCGAATTCTACCAAGTACGGCCACCTCCTCACCTACGACCGACCCTGATGATGCACTTTGCCGCTGCTCTCGCGCTCAGTGTTTCTTGTGGTCTAACAACGCAATCGTTCCAATTCATAGGATTGGTGGAACAGCACGACGCTGAGCGAGTACTGGCGGACGTGGAACAGGCCGGTGCACCAGTGGCTGCTGCGCCATGTGTACTACCCCATGACCCGCGCCGGCTGCTCCAAGCTCCAGTCGGCCTTCTTCATTTTCTTCCTCTCGGGCGTGGGCCATGAGGTGCTCGTCAGCATCCCCTGCAACACCTTCCAGCTCTGGGTGCTCGGCTCCTTCATGGCCCAGGTAGCCGACCTCCGCTCTTGTTGTGCCCCCCCCCAATGGCTTCTGAGGTTGTGCTGGTGTTGACCTCACCTCGTTTTTGTGGTGGTTCATGGATCACGACACAGTTGCCCCTCATCTACGTCACGAGGTCGTTCATGAAGGGGACGAAGCTGGGAGTACCCCCTCCCTCCTCGTTTATCTTTTATCTTTTATCTTTATTTCTAACCTATCCCGTAGAACCTCTTGTTTTGGTTCAGCTTCTGCATCCTCGGGCAGCCCCTGTGCATCCTCCTGTACAGCCATCTGGTACCCCCCTCCCTCCCTCCTCGTTTATCTTCTTCACACCTCCAGAGAGAGCAGTGCGGCAGCAGCACGCCTCCTTGCCTTAGAAGTGGCACAGCACAGCTGATCATCTCCTCCTCCCGGAGTGCTGTGCAGGTCTACCACCGCTACCAGTTCTTCTACTGGAAGGACCTTTCCTTCTAGGCCGCCGGTTACCACAAAAGCTGTTTCCAAGCCTTGGCCGTTTTATGGTACTCGAATATAAATTCTACAAATTTGGTTGGTTCAACAACCTACAAAATGCACAGTGGAGGGAAGGAGAGGCATAGCAAAGGAGAGAATGTGGAGGCCTCGGGTTCAGAGGAGGAGCTGCGCCCGTGTCTCGTTGAAGGAGGGCGTGGAGCAGGAGTCCACGAAGAAGGGCGAGTCGACATCGGCCTCCGTGGCCATCTTGTCCTTCCTGCTCTGCTTCTTTTCCTTCTTTTCCCGCTTCTTGGTCTGCTGCTTTCCCTCTTGCTTGCTCTGCTTCTTCTCCTCCTTCTTCAGCTGCTTCTCCATCTTCTTGCGCTGCTTCTTCTCCATCTTCTCCAAGCGCTTAAGTTCCTTGGCATCTCCTGCGTGCCGTCGCTCCAGCTGGTGCTGGTACGACCGATTCAGCTTCACCGGCTGCGAGTGGGCCAGCCCGTTCCTTTCGGGCGAGCTCGATAGCTCATACATGCTCCGCGTACCCGGCACGCCCCTGCTCACACGCGCAAACGCACACGACACGCACCACGAGACAAACAAGGCACACAACGCTCTGATGAGCCGGGGCGCCACACTTAGCTGCAATGCGGCAAACGAGGGAACGCACGTGGGAGGGCGGAGGGGAATGGCGTGGGGCGGGATGAGGAGCGGCGGAGGCGCGACGAGCGCCGTCGAGAAGGAGGCCGACGCGAAGCCCGCCTTCCGCAGCTCCGCCGGGTGGGCATAGGTGCGGCTTCGCCCTCGGCCTGTCCTCCCAACCAATCAGCCAATCAACCAATAGCCCATGTTACGCGCTCAGTTGCGCCCGAAGGGGACTGTACCGCTGCCCCGCAGGACGTAGTCAGGGTCGTAGTCACGAGGCGGCAGAGGCGGCGGCGGCGGCGCCACATCGGGCTCGGCTGCCTGGTGGTGAGGCCGCGGCGGCGAGTCAGCGTCGGGCGGCGGAGGGAGTGGTTCGTCGGGAAGCCGGCTTGCGATGGGCAGCGGCAACGGCACCGGCAGAGGCGGAGCCAGGAACGAGATGAAAGGCGCGGGGTCAGCCGGGGCTGATGCTGATGGCGGCAAAGAGTGGTCAAGACACGACGCGGGAACGGAGATGATGTCGTCGCGTGCGCGCTTGGAGCGGAGAAGGAGCGAGCGGGAGTGCTTGCGTCGCGGCTTGGCCGATGACGCGTCGCCCTCGCCCGCGGCCGGTGAGGAGGAGAAAGGTGATGATGCAGAAGAAGCTGATGATGATGATGATGATGACGGTGTTGATGGGGTGTCAAGGGAGGCAGAAAGAGAAGAGGTGGAGTTGTGTAGGGACGCGGAGAGATTCTCCTTGTTGAGCGCGCGCGGGCTGAGGATAGCGCTACGTTTGGCCTTCTTCTTGTTGGCCTTCTTCTGCGCTTCGTCGTCCTTGAGGGTGAAGATGAACCGCTCCTCCAGGGGCTCCTCCTACACGTTATGTAAATAGAGATGTATCAATTACACGCTCTACACCGCCAAAAAAAGGAAAACAGCGTGTAGCGGCACGTGCTAGGAGGGGGCATACGTAGGCGTCGAGCCAGGAAGGACGATGATCATCATCGGCAGAGCAGTCGCCGATGACGTTGCGGCTGCTCTGCCGGAGGTGGGAGAGGGAGGCCACCGATAGGGTTTTCCGCTTCACCTTGGGCGGCTCCTCGGTGTGTGTGCTCTTGACGACGCTCGACATTGCTCTCTACCTGTTTGCACGACGACGGCGTGTCCGCGTTGTTGGGTTGTTATTATGCCTTCTTGCTACGGTTTCATGCTACCATGCTTCGTCGGTGTGCCAAGGAAGTGTGTTTGTAGAAGTGGCCACAATAACTTCGTGCTCCCAAACACAAGGGCCGTGATTTTCTGCCGCTTTTAGGGACTTTTGCTCCCACGCGTGGTCGGGGGGGGGTACCTGAACAGGGTGGGGCTGGTGATGGGGAGGGACTGGTGGTGGACTATGGCGGTGCGGCACAGTGCGGCCCTGCCTCTATCTCTTCTTCTCTTCTCTTCTCCCTTGGATGTAAGAGGGACCCAGGCCTCGGAGTGATAGCAGACGCGTGGGAGGGAGGACTCCGGTGCGTCACGTCTTCGTAAATGGAAGAAGTGAGGCGGGTGGGGCATGTGGGTCGTTGGCGGCGGGCCGGTCCAACGGTCGTGGACCCAGATGACGACGGTCGCCATTTGCAGTTGCGCTGCTGCCCCTCCATCGCGGCCACGACGCCCGTTCCTTTTGGCGCCAAACCACCGCACCGTTACAACCGCGAAAAACAGACCAATTGCGTGGGCACGGACAAGGGGCAGAAAACTGGGTTTGTCGATCATTGTACATTGAGGGGGGGGGGAGAGGAGCGAGTGTGGTTTTCATCAGGTGGCGGACAGGTGCCACGCACATATCGAATGGTCACGCGAACCACTCCACAGCGTCCTGGAACAAGTGCCGTGGTCACCAACGTCGACCACCACTACAACGCCAAAGCATAGGGAGGGAGGGACGCGTACTGTTCGTCGGAGAGCCACAGAAGGCAGCGCACGGCGCCCTGCTGCGTCCCGAACTTGTGCACCTGGTTGCCCTGTAACCATACAAACATGGAGGACGTCATCAGCTAGGGTGGAGATATATATATATTTATATAGATAGGGAGGCGATGGTACGTCGTGGTCCCAGACAAGGATGGAGCCGTCGGTGCAGCCGCCCACCACCAAGGTACGCCCGAACCCGCAGGCGATGCGCTTGAGGCACAGAATGGACACGCCCTCCCCCACTTCCACCACCCGCACCACCTCCGGCTCTTCGCCGTCTCCCTCCGACACCTTCCCTGCAACCAACCAAGTTGGTCACCAAGGCGCCGATGTAAGCGTGTGTCAACCGTGAGCATCATCATCATCATCATCACCATCAGCAGCAGCAGCATTGTGCGTACATAGTTTGAGTTTGCAGTCGTTGCCGGCTGACCACACGCGTCCGGCGTGGTAGAGGAGGTCGTTGATGGGGCGATCGTGCGCCTTCCACTCCCTCCGCTTCATGGTCTGGAGGCCAGGTCATGATGGTCAGGAGCGAACCGACAAAAGATAGTGAAATAAAAATACGACAGGGTAAGAGAAGGGGTAGAAGGGGGGTTACTTGGAAGTGGAGGGTGAAGATGTCGGTTTCGCCGCCCATCCACACCGAGCCGTGCACCTGGCACATCGAAAATATGGGGCTCCCCTGCTTCATCACGATCTCCTCCTCTCGTCGCAGTTTCTGCACGTGGCCACCGACACGACACGGCCACCACAAGAAATCAGAATCCTACTACTTCCGACGCACTATGTACTGCTGCTACCACTACTACTACTACTACTACAAAAGGCGCCAAAAGGGGAGGGGTGGCGTACGAGGGCGTCCCAGACGATGACGGTGCCGGAGATGTCGGCGGACCACACCTGCGGCGGCTGCGACGTGGAGCGGCGGATGAGGTGCATCGTGCGCACCAGCTCGCGGTGCCCCACCAGCTGCCGCGCCTCCTTCAGCTGCAGTTCCGCCGCCGCCATCGCGGCAACACAACACAAGTGCGTTTCAGTCCCACACGTCGCCATCGTTCAACCACCACCACCATCGTATGCGGAGGGGCGGCCACCAACCTTTTTCTTGCTCCATATGCGGATCACGTTGTCGTCGTGGAAGCTCCTGTGCGCACGCACGCGTCAGCAGAGGCGGCGACTTCGGGAGGGGTGAGCAGCAAAGCAGTCGTGAAGGAGTTTTGTTTTCGTTTTTTGTACCACACGCGATCTTCGGCCAGGAGCAGGCCGTACACGCGGGCCTCCCTCTCGGAGCTGGTGGCCACGCTCTTCAGCACCTTCCCGCTCTGACGTCATACCCCCCACAACCACACGTGTGCGGAGATGAGCGCCAATTGGTCCAGAGCTGAAACGGCAACCTGATTCCCTAATCCAGATTGATTTTCCTTTTCTCTTTTGAGTATAATCATCCATTGTAACGGCTGGCCAGGAGAGGAGAGGGGGGAGAGTACGTTGATGGCGACCGTGGAGAGGTTGCCCACGCCATCCCCCGTCCAGACGGAGGCGTCCACCCGCACCAGGCACTGCACCGCTGTACGTACGTACAACAATTCAGGGAATGAAAAAATGGGAAGAACGCCAACAAATAGACATCGACTGAGAGAGAGAGAGGCCAATTGGCTACCCTTGGTGGTGGGGACGATCTTCTGCTTGGGTTCGAAGGACAGGTCGAGGGCGGACCAGGCAGGACCCCCGCTTCGCAGCTTCTGCACCTGTTCGGTCGGTCGGGCGGGTCGGTGGGTCGGACGGCCGCAGCGTCAGATACGCCACCCCGCGCGCGTTTGGAAGAGAGGGGGGAGGTGCCTCGAGCTGCGTCTTGAGAAGCATCACGATCGATTGCTGGTTTTGTCGACGCGCAATGTTGAGTGCGCTCTGTGTGTGTGGTGTGTGGTGTGTGGTGTGTGGTGCGTGTGCGTGGCGTGTGCGTGACATGTGTGTATCGTGTGTATCGTGTGTGTGCCGTGTGTGTGTGTCGTGTGTGTGTGTGTGTGTGATCGTGTGTGTGTGTGTGTGTGTGTGTTGTGTGTGTGTGTGTGTGTGTGTGTGTGTTATCGTGTGTGTCGTGTGCCGTGTGTGAAGGTGCGGTAAGTAGTCTTGCGGGGCACGCACGTGAGCATCAGATGGGAACCAAGCGTACCTCGCCCAAGGGCTTCGTCAATTCAACCGATGGGGGTGGGGAAGAGGAGTTGCAGATACATTGGGATCGCATCCCGAAAGAAGATGACCGTCCGTTAGCCAGACAGAACAACCGACACAAAAGAAAAAGAAAGGAGAGCGAAAAAAACTATAATTTCGAGAGCGGAGGGCGAGGTGGAGGATACGGTGAGGGCATCGATGTGTGCGCCGTGCTGGAGCAGGAGCTCCACAACGTCGCCATGACCCCACTCGCACGCCACATGCAGCGGTGTCTGCGTGTAGAATGCATTCCCCCACCACCACCACCACGCACGTCAGCCGCAGGTACGTGCGCTGAGAGAGATGCGCACATGCACACACGGAGGAAAGAGAGAATGAGAGCATCGCGGGCGGGGAGGAGGGCACGCACCCATCCCTTGGCGGGCAGGTTGGGGTCGAGCGCGCCCTGCTGGAGGAGGAGGGCCACCGCTTCCACCATTCCCTCCCCGCACGCCAGGTGGAGAGGCGTCTAGCACACGCACGCACACACACACGCAACACAACACAACACACAAAACACACACGACGCGCACACGACAATGTACACGACCGAGGACACGAGTCCCGCAACGTCAGTGTGCCCACTCTCGAGTGAGACCCACACACGGCGCAGCTGGCGGTGAAGAAATCGGGCGGAGGGGGGAAGGTACCCACTAGCAGCCCAGACCCGGACGAGATAAGGAAGAACGAAGGTCGGGTTGGGGGGGGGGGTGAACCAATGCGTGAGCCCAAGCGACCTTTTTTGGGGAGGGAAGCGGGGGTGTTGAACCTCTTTGGGGTCGGGGTCAGGGAAGATGAGGCGGCTGAGGTCGCCCTCCGGGGCCAGCGCACGCAGGGCGGACAGGTCTCCGCGGAGCAGCGCCTCCTCCAGGCGCGACACCGCCACGCCACCACCGGTGCTGGCCGTCTCCGCAGCCCCCCTCGTCTCCATCTTCGCGTGTTGCGCGGTCAATTTTAATTAAATTTATAAAGGCGCCAATATTCTTTTGCGGTTCTTTTTTTGGGCGTTGAAGTGGTCTGTGGTACAACTTGTAATTCTCTTGTGATATTTGCTGATGATACTGCCAACAAGCGCTTAGACAGCGTCGGCGGCGGCCATGGCCCCGGACTGGAAGAGATCGTTGGTGTGGCCCTCGGTGGGCGACTGGAAGAGGGCGTTGTCGTTCATGGTCGCCATCTCGGTGCCGTCCATGGCCGATGCGGGCATGGGGGACGCGCCGCCTCGCTGCATGAAGCGATACAGGGCGTATCCCGCGCCGGCTCCAGCGGCTCCCACGGCAGCAGCGCCGAACACGCCGCCCAGGACGCCGCCCACGATGGCACCGACGGGGGTGTCGCTCCCGCCGTTCTCCCCGCCAGTCGACCCGTCTGCAGCCAGTTACAGCGGCCATCAGACGATTAGATACGTCGGATTAGATACGAGGTCGAGGTGTTATTGGAGGGAAGGGCGAGCGTACCGCCACCGGTGCTGTGGCCGCCTCCGGTAGTGTGACCGCCCGAGGTGGTCGTGGTGGTGGGAGAACCGCCACTGGTGGTCGTGGTGGTGGGAGAACCACTGGTGGTGGTGGGCGAATGAGGAGTGGTTACGGGAGGTTGGCTGGTGTTGCCACCTCCACCACAGTCGTCGTCGTCGTCATTGTCATCGTCATCGCAACCACAACCACAACCTGATGTGGGGGAGGGGCCTGGTGAGTTCGAAGCCAGTTTGCTAACAAGATGGTGTGGGCACGTACATTCGTCATCTTCTTCCTCCCAGCAGGAGTCCTCCCCGCCCTCCTGTTCTTCGAGTTCGAGGATGAGCGCAATCGGTGGGCAATCATCGTCGTCTTCGCAGGAGCCCCACGACTTGCCGTAGCCGCAGGCCACCTCGTGTTCGTTGTCGTCCCTCTCGCAATCGTCGTAGTCGTCGTAGTCGTAGTCGTGCCTGGCCGGTCGCTTGACCCTCTCGCCGTCGGAGGCTGAGCAGCTGAGGACAGCTATCGACAGGATGAGGCCAACCAAGGCCCACAGTGCCACTCGCGTCATGGGGACAAAACTGAGCTGAGGGGGAGAAGAGTATGAAGGAGAAGGCTGGTGTTGATTGATTTGAAGAAGAGAGTGGTAGTGTGCAGCGCCTACCACTTGTATAAATACCCAGTCCCGGAATAGATCGGGGGCTGGCATTGGTGGCCAGGGTACTGGATTGATGGGACTGCATTAGGAAGCCCTACTGGGGATCCTGGTTCTCACACTAACCCGGGGATATTCCTGGGCGCTCAGTTCGGTCGAGTACCGACCGCCAACCGACGGCATGTGCGACGCTTAGCTCACGTGGTGCCACCGAGTCACCAGGTCCAGGTCCGCCGCCAACACGCAGCAACCACGGGCTATTCCACCTGCCCCACTGGTCGCCGGATCAAATCCCGCCCCAGGCAGCAAGGTTAAGAGCAAGCACCCCATTGGTCAGAAGGATAGTCGTTCGAGGTTTGCACCCAATGAAGTGCCAAACGAAGAACGAAGTGGTGGTTGCACTCTTATTGTTCACTCTTTCGTAAGTTCTTTTGGAGTCAAATAGCAAATGGGCGTGGGTGTTCACTTCCTCTTGGCCACCGCCCTCCTCCTGGCGGCGGTGCTGGTGGGCACGGCCAATGCCCACTCGGACGCCCCCTCTCGTGCCGTCGGGGTGCGCAACGTACGAACTCGGGTACGTTCGGGCCTTGCGCCCCCCCCCCCAATACTGCACCGCATTAATTATCAGAGTAATGTAGGTCGAAGCGGCAGTGCGCGTGTCGGCGTCCCCCTCGGCCCTGCGCCATACCGGCGAGTGGGTGGAGGTACCGTGACCCTGTGACTCCTCCGCTCGCTGAGTTTTTCCCGCCCCCCCCCGGGGGGGGGTTGGCGTCTTGCTGCTCACGCGTGGGTGGTGGTGCATGGTGGTGCGTGCGTGGTGGTGGTGCAGGTGTCGTTCGAGGGCGTGGGGTCGCCCCACAAGGGCGATTGGGTGGGCGTGTACTCCCCCGCCGACGCCGACGTACACTCCACGGCTCCCGTTAAGTGGCAGCACGCCGACGTGGTACGACTTCTTCGCACCACGGTGATCATCGCATGAGATCAGCAGTGCACAGGAGCGCATGTGTGGTAACATCCTCATCGTCGTCGTCGCCATATTGTGGTGTCTGTGGTCGCCAGTCGGCGGAGTACCTGCGTACGGGAGCGGGCAAGCTGCGCTTTCGGCTGATCAACATGCGGGCCAGCTACGTGTTCCACTTCATGCGCAACGGGACCGCTCACCCCGTGCTCGTCTCCTCCTCCAATCATGGTACTACACCCCACACCCTCGCACCCACCACCCACCGCCCAAACCACCATCCGAATGCTGACGTCATCATGGCCGCCGAACAGTGACGTTTGCCAACTACAACGAGCCCACGCAGGGGCGCATCATGCTCACGGGGCGGCCCAGCGAGATGCGGGTCATGTGGACCACCCTCAACGCCTCCCGGCCCGCTGTGCGCTTCGGCACCGCCACGGGGCAGCTCACCCTGACAGCCGCGGCCTCGTCGTCGACCTACCACCGCGAACAGCTCTGCGGCGCGCCGGCCAACGCCGACGGGTGGCGCGATCCCGGCCTCCTCCACAGCGCCGTTCTCACGGGCCTCCGTCCGGGTACCCACTTCCCACTCACGACCTCACAAGTACGTCACGTGACGCCGATCTGTGTGTCATGTGGGTCGTGTCGTGTCGTGTGATTGCGTTGGTGTTGTGAGCAGATACGCGGTACTACTACGTGTATGGCGACGAGGCCTACGGGTGGAGCGCCGAGCGTTCGTTCGTGTCGGGACCGACGGCCGAGCAGCGGGACCGTTCCCTCACCCTCTTCGCCTTTGGCGACATGGGCAAGACCACCCAGGTACACGACCCACACGATCAACAAGCCCTGGTCGGCCTCGCACAGCACGCGCTGGCCTGCCGGGTTGGGAGGAGGGGTGGGGTGATGAGTGGCCGGCCTACTCACCACGCCATGCTTCCTTAGGACGACTCAAAGGAGCACTGGAACCTGGAGGGCGCCTCGCGCAACACCACGCGCCTGATGATGGAGGACATGGCCGCGCAGCCTCGCGACCTCCTCCTCCACATCGGTACGCGCGGGAGGAGCTCCTCTCGCCTCATCATCGCCACCAATCATATTCCTGGGACGGGGCTTGTTGCTCACAGCCACCCGCGCTGTTCTTGTTCTCTGTGCGCAGGTGACATTGCCTACGCCGTAGGCTATTCCGCCCAATGGGATGAATTCCACGACATGGTACGTGAATTCACCCCCCCCCAACCAACCAACCATTCACCAGCTCCTGGTGGTGGGCCAGCCTTGGCCTTTCGCTGGGGGGTCGCGTGCTCACAGTCAGCCGCGGGGGGTCGGGTGCAGGTGGAGCCCCTGGCGACGCAGTTGCCGTACATGACGTGCATCGGCAACCACGAACGCGACTTCCCCAACTCCGGCTCCTACTACACGGGATCCGATTCTGGCGGTACCTCCCCCCCTAAAATCCTATCCTCGTCGTGGTGGCTGGTGGCTGGTGGTGGCCGATTGATTGATTGATGGATTGATTGATAATGCAGGCGAATGCGGTGTACCTTATGAGGCGCGCTTCCCCATGCCCACCCCGGCACGCGACCAGCCCTGGTACAGCTTCGACTACGGCTTCGTCCACTTCACCTTCATGTCGACCGAACACGATTACTCCATCGGTACGAGGATCATTACCACACACTCATCCCAATTCGTGAGGCGCGGCTGCTGACGAGGTGGACATCGCGGCTGGTTCGAAGGTTCGAAGCAGTGGCTGTGGCTGGAGGAGGACCTGCGCCGGGTGAACCGCAGCGCCACCCCTTGGGTACGTTATTATTGATACGGGCACCAATGCCACTTGTCCACACCGACATAACATGTACAATCATTCAGGTAATCTTCTCGGGCCACCGCCCCATGTACATCAGCACCAAGACGTACCTCCTTCCTTCACTCCTTCGCAAGCTATGTGCGCGCCGCCGCCGCCGCCCCCTTCGCCTCACGTCGGGTGCATCGGCGCGTGTGCAGGGAGAGCCATTCGGCGAGACACATGAGGAAGGAGCTCGAGGACGTGCTCCACAAGCACAAGGTCGACCTCGCCCTCTGGGGCCACAACCACTCCGTACGGCTCCGCACGTGGCCCACTACTCACCCCCCCCCCACACCCCTTCGCTGGCTCCTTGGCCACGAAAGTAGCTTACGTCCGTTGCCTATTTCCCTTCTATTATGGTCAAAACAAAACACCAGTACCAGCGCTCGTGCCCCGTGTACAAGGAGACCTGCGTGCCGGAGGGCCACGGCGTCACCCACGTCGTCATCGGTACATCGGCCGCGTTCCCCCTTCCTCTTCGCCCCCCGCGTGCGCACAGAGTGGAAGCTCACAGACGGCGGGCGATGTGGGTGTCCACAGGGATGGGCGGATTCCGGTTGGGCCAGGTGGGCGACCACGATCCCAGCTGGGCGCGCGTGGTCAACAACAAGGAGAACGGCTACACGCGCCTCCACATCACCCCCTCCGAGCTCGACATGCAGTTCGTGAGCGACATCGACGGCGGCGTCAAGGACCACTTCTCGCTCCACAAGTGAACAGTCTGTTCACGGGGTCCTGCACGTGCTCCTATTTTTGCGGACCAAACACGCAACGCTGCATTCCTTCGGTTCCGTTTTTCCAACGTTGCTGCTGGCATTCCATTCCAATTTGCTTTTGCCGGCACCAACCACACGGCCCAGACCAGCGAGGGCCAGGCACACACGAGAGACCCAACGCACACTTGGTGGCTCCTCTCGGCCTGCCGCGCCCCACCGCTTTTTTGACCACCTTAGAGGCGCTCCTCTTTTCGTTCTGCCGCTCAACGACCACCCCCCACGCACAAGTAATAATAATCACATACATACATAAATGAAGGCTGCCCACAGCGAACGTACCCTCCCCTCCCTTGCAGCTCTCTTCCGCCCGGCGGCCTATCCGCAACTTAGAATAATAATCACGATAATATTTATAAAAACAAATTATTTTTATTTAATTTTTTGTTAGCCGATAAAAAAAGTATTCAGGTGATTACAATAACAAATTAGAATAATTGCCATAATAGGTGGAACACAAATAAAACAATTGGCGTGGGGTACGCGTGCGGGGTGGGCAATAGGGTCCGTTTCGCGGGAAGGCTCCAACGGGGGCGGCGAGGAAAGCGTGGGCGTGGGTCCCTACAAGGAGTGGGTGGGGCTGCCCACCATCCGCGTGCGGCCCCTGCCCGATCCCACCCCGGGCGCGCGGCTCTGCGGACCCGTGCTCGACAGCGAGCACAAGTTCGAACACCTGCCCGACCTCTTCTGCGGCCGCGCCACCTCCACCTACCCCAAGGGGGTACGCCCCCACTAAAGAACGAAGAACGAAGAACGAAATCGGAGACGTATGTGTTAAGCGTTGATGTGCGTGTGCGTGCGTGCGTGCGTGCGTGTTCTCGAGCAGCAAGGCGAGCCGATCTGCGACTACTTCGATGTGGAGCTGTTCGAGGAGGGCCGCACGCTGGTGTGCATCGCCGACGGGTGCTCATGGGGCGAGCAGCCGCGCCAGGCAGCGCGCAAGGCGACGGACGCGTACATGGGCTACCTGCGCGACAACCAGCGCTCCATCACCGACCTGCGCGATGCGGGCCGCCTCATCCTGCGCGCCTTCCAGAAGGCCCACATCAAGATCCTCGAGGGTACAACGACGCAACCCACGACACCACACACAACACAACACAACACAACACGTGTTAGGGCGCTGGAACTTACGACGCGGCGGCAGGACATGAGGACCTGTGGCTGGCGGGCACCACCACCCTGTGCGGCGGACTCATGATGGAGCTCGACGTGGATGCGGGTACGTTCAACGGGGCGCCTCGGTCGTGTTCCATTACAACACTCATTCCATTGTCGCCCATTGGCACGATGGATGGGCGTTTGCCGTTGGTGCAGAGACGATGAAGAAGCTGCACGAGCTGCGCCGGAACATGGAGACGGCGCCGGTGAAAATGTACGATATCGACCAGTTCGTCTCCACATTCGAGAAGGACGAGAACTCGCCGGTGGCGGCCCCGCCCCACCAGAAATCCACCCATGAGCTGCCGTCTTCATCCTCCGGTCCGCACACGCCTTCCCACTATTTTCACTATTTTCTTATACGTAGAAAACGGACCAATCACGCTGACTCTGTTCCCCCCCCCACGTGTGCGAACGTGCGTACGTACGTTTGCAGCCAGGGACCCAGACGAGGACTACCGGTGGCTCTTCGTGTGTGCCAACGTGGGCGACTGCAAGGCCTTCCACTATTCGCCGCGCACGGGCACGCTCACCGACATCACCCTGGGCAACCGCACCAACCTCACCGACGCCAAGGTACCATGAGAACCACCACCACACCACACCACCCCCACCCCCAACCCAACGCTCACGATCGCAAGAGGGAGGGAGGGAGGAGTGCGAGCTGTGCGTCGTGCGTTGCGAGTGCGGTCATGTGCTGATAAGGCGTGGCGTGACGGCGTAGGATCCGGGCGGTCGTCTGGGCCCCTATTTGGACAAGGGTGAGCCGGACCTGCGGAATCTGGGCCTCTACCTGGTCCCTTGCCACGACGACGACGTCATCATCCTCATGACCGACGGGATCCACGACAACCTCGACCCCCAGCACCTCGGCCTCAAACCCCGGTGAGGACCCCCCTCTCCCCCCCTCGCCGCACCTGCCTCCGTTTGGCGTGTAACCCCCCCCCCATCTCACCTGCTCCCTCTCTGTCTCTCTCATGTGTGCCGTGTGTGTCGTCGTGTGTGCGCGCGCGCGTGGTGTGTGTGTGTGTGTGTGTATCGTGTGTGTTGTGTGTCATCATAGGGACCTGGGCCTGGACAAGTTCGAGACATGGCACGAGGCGGAGAAGGACGACCCTCGCGTTACGGAGTCGGCCAAGAACGACTTCCGGATACAGTACGTCAAGTACCTGGTGCCCAACATGTCCGTCTACGGCCTCACAGAAGGTACCGCACGCCATCTCCTCCCCCCCCTCACAAAAAAGCGGCGGCCTCAACCAACGACGACGTTTGGTCGCTGGACACCCAGGCCTGGGCGAGCACTGCCGACGGATCACGCAATCCAGCAGGGACTTCATGGAGACCAACACATTTCAGAAGCTGCCCGACGACTACGTCCGATATCCGGGCAAGATGGACCACGCCACCATGGTCGCCTTCCGCGCACGCGGACTCGCCGCTGAGCAACGGGTTCTCCTCCCTGCCTCCCACCCAACCACCCACCCAGCACACCAGCCGCATGCTCCCTGCTTGCTGCTGCTGCTGCTGCTTGATGGGCGATGATGTGATGCGGTGTGTGCGTGCGTGCGTGGGCCACTCACGCCTCTCTTCGACTCGCGAGCAGATGCCCAGCACAAAGCCCATCCACGCCATCATCGGTATGAGGGCTTCCTTTTTGCCCTTGCGATCTTGCCCTTTATGGAAAGAAACGTCTTACCCTTTTACCTACCTTCTTTCGCCGTCGACGGCGTTGGGGCGTGGTGGTGGTGGTGGTGGTGGTGGTGGTGGTGGTGGTGGTGGTGGTGGTGGTGGTGGTGGTGGTACGGATTGGGGAATGGTAGGGAACGAGCGCCCTCGCAAGCTGGCGTGCTACAGCATGGAGCGAGAGCGCCTGGCCGAAATCACCGTGGAGCCCGCCGACCTCGTCACCCACCTCATCGCCAAAGTCAAGACGGTACTCTACCTCCGCCGCCTCGGCGCGCCCCGGCCCTTTCCAATGTGTCGTCGTCGCCTGCGTCGATTTAAGCCGTGTACTAACCCGTGCGCCGCATCCACGCGCGTTGTGTGCGCGCAGGCCCTGAATGGGACCATCGCGGGGCGGCCCTTCCGCTTGCGGCGAGGGGAGGACGGCTGGAAGCAGAAGCCCTCTCCCATCGTCAAACGACAGGTACCACCACCACTACCCTCATCCCCGGTCGGCGAGCCCCGAGGCTCATGCGGTGACCTGACGAACCCCCTCTCCTCCCGTCGCCCGGGTCACCCGGATGCGCCCAGTTCGGCCTGCGGGTGTTCGAGGTCTTTTCGGAGGCGGGCGACTTCGTGGTCGTACAGTTTGGCGTTGTGCCCTGCCCCAGTCCCCCGGCCACGCATGCCCTCGCTTGACCCTCTTGCGCCGCGGCGGCGAAGACACCACCAAAAAAGATCTTAAAGTGCGATACAACGAATTGGCCCAATCACAGTGAGCTTACTAAATAAAGGCCGTGGAAAAGGCGACATAAAGGGGAGGAAATTGACCGCGAGAACATGGCGACTTTTCGAGCGGAGGCTGGTGGAGACACCTCCCGATCTCGCCCTCCTCCCAAACACGTGACGCCTCCATCACACATGCGAGTGGATGGCCACAAGAACCTCAACCATCGGTCCAGAGCTCGAGCAACGCACGCTACACCTTCCCCTCTTCATCATCGGCTGCACTGGGGGCATTGTTATTCTCCACACCACAACAAAGTAGTAGGTGCAGTGCATCGTCATCCGGCTAATGGACCAGCGACAGAGCCAGGCGCCCATCGTGGTGGTGGGCACCGCGGGCCTCGACGGGCAGGTGGCGGCAGCCATAGAGCACGCCGCGCGACGGCTGAGTAGCGAGGAGGAGCGGGAGCAAGTGCTGGGCATCAAAGACCTCTGGTCGCTCTCCTGCGACGACCCGCAGTTCGCCATCGCCATCGGCCAGTGCGGACCCCTCCTCGACCGCCTCCTGGAGCTCTGCTCTCTGGCCTCGTGCCCCTCCTACACACCCTCCCCCTCGCTGCCCCCCGGCCCCTCCTGGAAGCTCGTGATCCTCGCCCTACACTGCCTCTGGTTTGCTTTTTCCTGCTTTTTCCTTCCCTCTTCTTCCCACCACTCTTGCTGAAGTAGCTCACCCCATCGGCCCATTTGGGGGGGGGGGCAAATGAATGCAGGAACCTGGCGGCCTACGAGGAGAACAAACCCACTGTAGTGTTACATGGTACTCGCCCCCCCACACCATTACATCTTATTTCAAAAGAAGGCTTCTCAATGGGCGGTCAGGTGGCGTCGAGGTGGTACTCTCCCTGTTCAATCGGGCACGAGCGGTCAAGGACAAGTACCGCGACGAGGTACAGCCAACCTCCCCATCATCGTCATCGTCGAGCGAAGGACCAAACCTGGGTGTGGGTGCCCAGGTGTTCCTGTGCTGCAGCGCCATCCTGCAAAATGTGAGCGAGTCACACTACCGCTCTGGCGCCCGCAACCAGCTGCAGGGTACGCGCTATACCCCCCTCCCACACCTATCCCCCCCCCACGTATTAAGGGGCGACTGACATCAGTCCCTCATGTGGGGTATTGATCGCTGCTGTGGGACGTAGTGCGCATACTGCAGGAGGGGGTGCTGGAGCCCCTCATGCTGCTGGGCGGAGAGAGCATGCGGGACATCTCCATCCGCTTCAAGGCCTGCCTCACCATCTGCAACCTGGCCTACCACCCACAGAACAGGCACACACCACACACCACACACCACACACCACACACACGCACACCACACACACGCACAACACACACCACCCACATTTCCCCCAACTGACCGTCCCCTATGGGCACGCCCTAGGCGGCACTTGAAAGAGGCCAAGGCCCTGGATCTGGTCGCGAGCTTCATAGAGCCCGAGAACTGGGCCGAGGCCACTGAAAAGACCTCCATCTGGGTACACACGTCACCCACCCTCCAGCCATGTCCGGCGTGCTAACGCGGCGGGAGTTTCCTTTTCCATCCACCACCACCACCACCACCACTACCACCACCACCCACCACCACCACCACAGAACTCGTGGCTTGGCCTCCAGCCCTTCGTGCGTACGTGCCTTCGCGCCAGTGCTCAAACGTTGGTCGCATCTGCTGCACTTACGAACTCTTCTCTCTCTCTCTCTCTCTCAATGTGCGTGTGGTGTGTGCGTGTGTTGTGGCCGCCGCAGCGCTGCTATCGCTGACGTCCGGCAATGGAGACAACGTGGATCGCGACATGCTGTCGGCGGTGGGGTTCGCGGCGCTGTGTCTGGAGAAGTTCTCGGGGGCGAAGCGGTACCGCAAGAAGCTGTGGCACGACCTGGCCCTCAACGGGGGCATCCAGCCTCTCAAGTCCCTCCTGCGCAGCTCGCTCCTCTCCGGCCGCCTGGAGCGCGTGCGGACCGCCGTTGCCGCCGTGTTCCGCAATCTCGACATCGACACTTCCGACGTGGGCGTCGCCATCGACCCCTCCTCCTACGAAACGGTACCTCGCTCCTCGCTCCTCCTCCTCTTCTTTGACCCTCAACCCGCACCACCGGCTTGCGCACGTGCTCCAGGACTTGAGCCACATCTTCGACCGCAAGGACTCCTTCGCGGACTGCGTCATTGTATTCCCGCAGGTCGGCACGGGTACGCCGGCACACACGACACACACGACAGACGACACACGACACACACACTGCAAGCACACCCGCGACACGACACAAACGACACAAAACGTGATGATGTCATAACAATCCCCTGCTGACACGTGCTGCACCGGGCGGCCAGGAAGTCGGGCAACTCCGGAACGCGAGATCTACTGTCATCGGGCGGTCTTGGCGGCACGGTGCGCAGTCCCTCCGGCCTCTTTCCCCTGCTGGCGTGAACCTTCGTGTCACCTGGCTGGGCGAGGCTGCCACTCGCGTTCGCCGCATCTCACCAGCCACCACCACCCACCACAACTCGGGGCGCAGGTGCAAGGTCTTTGCCGTGCAGCTCTCGCGGTGGGATCGGTCCGGCCAGGCCGACGAGCAGCCGCGAGAACAGAACAGCAGCGGCCCGTCGACGGGCGCACCACCAGCGGGACCCTCGCGCATCATCGTCAGCGAGTTCGACTACCCCACCATGAAACGGTACCCACTACGGATCGGGTTTGGGCTTGCTTTGGATGGGTGATCGGAGATGCGGATGCTCACACGATGCGCCACACCAAACACGCGCGGGGGGGGGGTGCAGGGTTCTGGAGTACATCTACACGGACCGCCCCGCTCTGGACTGGCTGTGTGCCGTCGATGTGCTGCGTGCAGCGGACATCTACGGCCTCGACCGCCTGAAGCAGATGTGCGAGGATCTCATCGTCCAGGTGCCACCCCACTCCTTCTCCTCGTCATCTCTCTGCCACGCCGCCGCCGCCGCCGCCTTACGAGTTGGGTTGGGTTGGGTTGTCTTTTCAGGGCCTGGACCTGGAGAACGTGGGGTATCTGCTGGAGCTGGCCGACTTTCACAACGCGTCCCAGCTGGGCCGTGCGTGCGTGGAGTTCCTGTGCCGCCGCCACGCCGGCAACTTTGCGGCGATCGAGGCCTCCCCGCAGTTCGAGGCCCTCCTCCAGAACTACCCGGCCTGGCGCGAGCAGATTGAGGGCGCCTGCCGCACGTTCACCTCCGCCCGCCACCCGGGCGACAAACCCTCCTCCGCGGCCGCCATCACGACAGCCTGCGCAGGCCCCGACCCCATGCGCATCGAGACCTGACCCACGTCGTCGTCGTGGCGCAGGTGAACCTTGCTTCCTTCCCCCCCCCCAAATCTCCCCCGTCTGGGCCTCCTCCTCCTTCCTGTACAAAGTGCGTAAAGGCGCCGAACCATGCCTGAACGTGGCTCTGCGCCTCTCTTTCAAATGTCTCTGGTCTCTTCCCGGGGCTCGCTCTCGGGTGGGGAGAGAGAAAGGCGCCGGTGCACGTGCAGCATTGCCCCTCCCCCCTGCATGGGCTCTTCGCTCCTCTCTCTCTCCGTCCGGAAGTGGTGTTGGTGGGCCGCCCCCACCCATCAGCGGCGCTCGAACTTCCCGGTGTTGGTGTACACCAGCTTCTCTCCTGCGATTCAACGCGCGTGCGCAAGGCAGGCGCATCAGCGGTAGTGGTGGGCGCGTGGTGCAATAGAAGAAGGGGGGGAGGGGTACCAGTGACGGGCACCTCGACGGTGAGGAGGTAGAATTGGCCCGAGGCGGTGACGTCGGCGATGACGTCGGCGGCGTTGACGTCTCCCTCGGCGCTGAAGAGTACTCGCACGTGGTCGCGCTGGGTGGCGGCGTTGAAGTACTTGGTCGACTGGAGGCCGCGGCGCCGTCGGCTGGTCTCCTCGCCGTAGGTTTTGATGTTGGGACCCAGCAGCTTCTGCACCTCCGGGTCGCGGCGGAGAAGATCCGACGCCTTGGAGTACACGTGCTGCGGACTCGACGGCGCAAACCCGGCCGAGAACAGCTGGTAGGCCGCCGCGCCCAGCAGCACCACGCCGCCCAGGATCACCAGCCCGTACCCCGCGTCCTTGCCCCCCTCCACCACCTGCCCACCCCCCCCCCAAGGTGCAGCCCTGCCGTGAGACACCCCGCGGTGGTGGTGGTGGTGGTTCCCGCCAGTAGTGCCTGCCAAAAACGCTCCGACAACAAAAGACCCGGCTGACGCGCACGCACGCACTGTGTGGCACCACGGGGCGGGGGCGGGAGGGAGGCGGCACCTTTTGCGCGACGGTGACGGCGGTGCCCTGGCCGGAGGGTTTGGCGGCCTGCAGGCCCCCCTTGGTGCCCGAGGGAGGCTCCTTTTGGCCCCCGTTCGAGTCGGTCGCGAACCTCCGTCTCCCAAGACTCTGCTGCTGCGGCTGTGGCCGAGAATAGAGGGCGCCCTCCCACACCCCACGCCTGCGGCAGCTCCTCCATCAGAAACAGAGGCCCCTCATATTGGGGCTATTTGTACAAAAAAAATCATGATGTAAATATCAAGAAAGTAATCGGAGAGGGGAGTACCGGCCGACGATGCCCACTGGCCGGGTGCATGCCGTGGCAAGAGACACGCGGCCGCCCAACAACGCACGCCCGCTGGTGCAGACGGCAGATCGCTGCATTTTGCTCGATCTCTACGTGATGTTTTTCTTTGCGTATTTCTTTTTTCTTCTTACTTTTCCATCCAAGCTGGCGGGATAAAAGGGGGAAGTGAGCCTGAGATTGGATGTGACGAATCCGCGGCTGCCTGGCATTGTTCCGCCGACACGGCAGGGCGTGTTGAATTTCGCGAGGAATCGAGAAGCTCCGCCAGGAGAGTGCGCTGCTGCGGAGCGCCACCTTCGTAACGTCCCGCTGCCTCTGCTCTCGGCTTTGCACTCATAAGCCACATCATCCTCAACGCACTTCCTTACTTCTCGGCTCCTTTGCTTCCACCTCGCCTTGCGTCGTTATTCTTCTTTTTCTTTTTTCTACGCACGTGTAGACCACAATCCTTTTTCTGTTTTACACGCGTGGTTCGCCCCCCCCCAAGCTAGTGTTGGCTTCGTCTTGCCACTATGGCCGACGAACCACTCCATGACGAATGGCAGCCTTACGTGTACACCCACGGTACCTTGCTTCTTCTCCCCGCCCGAATCGCTCGAAGATGTGCATGGGAGGGGGAAAAGTGATTATTTGATTAATGCAACCGCTCTCGGGCAGGAGGAAAACGGCGCGTTGTATCGTCGCGCGTGCAGTCCCGCTATCACGAAAGCGGGCGACAATTTAGTCCACGCATTTGGCGAGGCATCTACATTGTCGGCAAAGTGCTCACTGCATTCCTCTTCCGTGCTTTGGAGGACTTCATCTATGTTTTTATTCGCCCCTTCCTGCCCGGTACGTTTTGGCCTCCTCCTGGGCCTTCCCCGGCCGAGATGTCTTTAATTTATTTTTCTATTTTGGTGTTGGCTGCCGGCAGGGCGCTACGGCCAGTGCGGCACGCCCGTGGGGGAAGTCATACACCGCGGAGCACTTTTCTGCTGGTTTCTGGTGCTCATCATTATCGGCCTGCCTCTGGCCCTCATTGGCTGCATCCTCCGCGTGGTGGCCGTGAGCGCCGGCAAAAGAGATTTCACCTTCGTTCGACCCCGAGGGGCGCCCCTCCAGCCACCTTCGCTCGCCGACGATGAAGAAATGTACCCCACCACTTTCTCCACTCCCTCCCCGGTTCGCTCCCGTTCCCTCTCTGTCTGACTGGAAGTGCGCGCGTGCCGCGGGCAGAACCATCACGCTGCGTACGCAAAACATCGGCTTCTTGCCCACCGTCTCGCCAGCCAACGGCCTGGCGACCCCCATGAAGCGCGTTCGTGCACTTCTCGGTACGCCACCCCGTTTATGTAACCCCCCCCCGCCACGAGGGAATCCTACGCGGGTTGCTGGTGCGCTCAGTGCCGTGGCCCTGAACCCGCGTTTTGTTCCCCCCCCCTATCCTCCTCCTCCTCCTCCTCCTCTCCGTTTTTGCAGCGGACCTGCGGAGTGGGCTGGACGACGTGGTGTGCCTGCAGGAGGAGTTTGACTTGGACGTGTGCGACTACCTCCTCTCGCACCTGCACGATGACCTGGAACCCAGCACGTCGGCCGAACTCTCGCTCATGGACGAAGACGACGTCGAAACGGCCTCCCTCCCCCAGAACAAAGATCGCTCCTCGTCCTCCTCGTCCTTCCACGGCAATCGCATCTCTGCACCCGGTACGAAGAACACCTCGCCACCTCCCCACGTCCTCGCCTAACCGTTTCACACAACGACACACGCACACACGCACACACGCACACACGCACAACGTCCAGGCAAGTACGGATGGATGGTGATGGACGTCGACGGCAAGGCTTACCGACTCAACTCCGGCCTGTTCGTGGCTTCGCGCTACCCGCTCGAAGCACCCGAGTTCGTGCGGTACCACATCTGCACCAACGAGGACGTGCTGGCCGGTAAGGGCGTCCTCGCATGCACCGTTGTCGTGGGCGAGACGTCGACCGGCCAGAAGATCAAGATCACCATCTTCACCACGCACGCCCAGGTAACCCCCCCCCACCACACGCACTGCGATCTCGTCCTCCGTCCTCCTTCGCTCATTCTTCTCCGTCATTGCAGGCAGGGCGACAACGAAGAGCGGCGCGGGTGCGCGAAATTCAGTACGAGATGGTGATGCACTTCATCGACTACTACAACAGAAAGCACATCGGGCCCGACGTAAGCCCTCCACCACCACCACCACCACACCCAATCCGATTGAAGAGAGCATTCTCTGTTTTGTCTGTGTTCCCCCCCCCGTTTCATTTGCTCGCCCGTTGGCTCACCTGCCCCGGTCGCTCGCTTGCGCAGGACATCCTGGTCTCGTCCATCTTCATGGGGGACTTCAACTTTTCGCCGATCATGCCGCGGCCGTCGGCCATCACGGGCAAGCTGGTGACTTGCCTCGAGTGGCAGCCCAACAAGACGCTGTTCCACAAGCACCACTTCGTCAACAACTTCTACGAACACTCGCGCGACGGCGAGAAAAGAGCCCGCAACCGGGAGCTGATCTTCCAGATCCAGGTACGCTCACGCCTCTTCTGCTGCTGCTGCTACGCCACCAGGCGGTCGCGTGCTTGGGCTTGACCGTGTGCCTGCGTGCGTGCGTGCGTGCGTGTGCGGTGGTTTGCTCGACAAAGGACCTTTTCCACGCCGAGGGTGTGCGTCTGTTGCTCGAGCGACGGGCGGCGTCGCTTCCTCACCCCACGGGGCACGTGGAGCTCGAAGAGCTCTCCTCCGCGTCGGGCTTCTCCAGCGAGACGACCGTCCACATCCCCCTGGACCAGAGCGGTGGCAAGCGCCGGGCCGAGCAACTCGAGAGTCCGCCGGGAAGCGAAGGCGAATCGGACAGTGAAGACGAGGACGACGAGGAGGAGGATGAGTGGAACGAGACGACGTACGGGGGCGAGGGGAGCAGCGAGGGGAGCAGCAACGCGGGGCTGGGGAGAGTGGAGGAAAAGGTGTGGAAGATGGACATCGCGACGCTGCTCAAGGTGCTCCAGGTGTGGGCCGAGAGAAGAGCGCAGGCCGCCACCGCCAAGGCGGAAGCCGCGAGCAACGCCGACGCCGAGGAGCAGCTGGGCAACGTGATCAAGGCCGAACTGGTGCGCCAGCTCCGGGTCCGGAAACGGGTGTTCGTGGCCGAAGACGAGGTCAACGTGCGGGGCATCGTCCCGCTCGCCATGCAGCTCAGGCTCGTCCCACGCGTGCAGGACGGTACCCCCTCCCCCTCCCCCCATTGGTGCGTGTGGTGGGAAGACGTGGAGCACTGTGTGCCATGGGGACTGAACGCCGCCCGTTGGTCTGGCACAGAGTCTCGGCCGGCCGCGCAAGCGCACGGCGACAGCAGCAAGGGCAAGGAAAAGGCGGACGGCGGCGACACAAAGGACCGGCGGGATAGCTCGCGACGAGAGCCCGGAGGAGGCGGCGGCGGCGGTGGTGATCCGGTGGCGAAGGATCTCGAGATGGCCCCGGTCTCGCGGAAGCGGGCGGACACTGGTGCGCGTCCCCCCCCCCATCTCTTCTTTCTCCGTCCGTCAGCACAACTTCTGGCTGTCCCAGGGAGGGAGAGGGAGGGAGAGAGTAAGGAAGGGCTTCGCCAGAGCGCCAGAGCTCCAGAGCTGACCCGATGGCGTGGTGGATGGTGGTGGGTGGTTGGGGGTGTGTGTGTGTGCAGGAACGGGGATCTGGGCGGGAGCTTACGAGCCGCTCATACCGGGAACCATCCTGGACACGCGCAAGTACGCCGGCAAATTCTCGCAGAGGGTGCGGTTCAACGACATCGACCACGTCCTGATGAAGAAATACATGCCCGGTACTACAACCCCCCGCCCTTCTCTCTTACCCGTACTCTGCTTCTTCTTCTTCTTCTTGCGCCACCGTGGTCACGCACCTGACCTGACCCCTCTGGCCACGTGCACGATGGGTGTATTGTATTGTTCCTGTGCGCGGACGGAAATATTTCAATATTTTCTATGGTCAACAGGGCGGAGTGTGTCCGTGACGAAAGGGCGCATCAGCATCGTGTGGGAGGGGGTCAACACCTTCTCGGACCACTACGGCAAGCGATTGACCCTCAAACTGAATGTCGCCCAGCTCGTCGCCAAGCGAAACAAGCAGGCCGACAGAAAGCGCAAGGGCTCCAGCTTCCACAAAGAAAAGGACGACGAGAAGCACAGCACGAAACACGAGAGGCGACCCGAGGAAGATGATGGCGCTGACGACGATGATAACGACGGCTGAGGCCAATCCTGTGGTGGTGGTGGTGGAAATACATTCCCATCTCTCTTTGGTCCAAAGCCTTGCTTGATGCGCACGGGGAGTGACAGACAACCCGCTACTCGTCAGCCCCGAAGGCGGTGAAGAGGTCGAAGGCGTACTGTCGCAGTTGGTCGTCGTGGAGCACCGTGGCCAGAAAGGGGTTGGGGTCGGATGCCAGCAACTGGGACACCTGCGGACGCGCCGACACAACACGCACGCACGCACCCACGGGGTGAGTTGAGAAGAAAGGAGGTCCCTTCATCGCCTGACCACCACCCCGTCGTACCTGCTTGTTTACGAGGGGCATCAATTTGGCCATGGGCAGTGCTGGCTCGGCGGTGGCTGCCGGTGCTGCGAGGTCCCTCTCCGCATCAACAGACGAAGCCAGCGCCTGCAGCGGCGTTACAACAACAACAACCACCACCACAACAACAGCGGTCCGGATTTGAGTCGAAAGAAGAGGCGCCGTGAGGGTGACAGGTGTACCTGCTGCTCCTGCCGGGGGAAGCACGAGTGAAGCTGGTGGGCCATGGCGTAGAAGCTGAGATTGAGGCAGCGGGAAAGGATCTGGTTGAACTCCGAGCTGCCACCAGGAGGAGGAGGAGGAGGAGGTACACGCGACGCGCAGGCGTGAGCCAAGTGAGAGGAGGAGGAGGAGGAGGAGGAGGAGGAATAGCCCACCACGTGCGTGGTGATGCAGGAAGAGGTGGGCATGGAGGTGGGGGGGGGATCCCAACCTCTCCAAAACGTCGCGTGTCTCGTTGATGAGCATGGTGAGCTTGTGGTCTCTGTGGCGCTTCCCGTTTCCGCCGCTACTGCCCTCCGCGTCTTCTTGAGGCAGCAGGAACGTGTTGAGGACGGTTTCATCCGAGTCCCTGTCCACCCACCAATTCGTTGCGGCAGATACACACTGTCGGTTTTCTCCCTCCCTCCCTCCCTCCCGCGGGGTGTGTGCGTGCGTGCGTGCGGGTTGTGCGGCGCGTACGGGGAAAGGGGCTGTTCCATTTTCCGTCGCATGGCGTCGATGATGGCCAGCACGTCGTCGTACGTGCATTGCCGCTGCAGCGGATAGCTATATACATATATATATATATACGGCACACATGTGCCCCAGCCATGGAAGAGGGACAGAAGAAGGACGATGACGACGACGACGACGACGAAGAAGAAGGGCCACCATGCTGATCAGCGCGTTGGCCGAGGCAGGCAGCGCTACCTCTGATAGGCCGGCGGCGGCACCGGTGGGGTGGGGGGTGGGTACCTGGAGAGGACCTGGTGCGCCGTGGCCTGTACCAGGGCGACGAGCTGTGGCAGGCCCGTGTGCACCACGTACTCGGAGTAGCCCAGGTACCGCTTCTGGGTGTCCTGCGGGATGGCCACGTCCAGCGGAATCTACCGCGATTTATATTATATACAGCCCACGCACACGCACCCGCGCAGGTCAGTACGATATATCCCCCCTCCGCCCCCCAGCCAATGACGGCTCTCGTTGGCGGCGATGGCGCGATGGACGACGATACACCCATTGGGGGGGGGAACGGGGGGGGAGCGGTACCCGGAAACGGGCGGAGGGATCTGTGGCGATGAGGGTCTCGAGGTACAGGTACCGCCCCAGAATGTTCACCTGCGCATATGCGTGGCGGCGACGTCGTGCCCACCCAACCCAACCCAACCCAACCCAACCCAACCGGGCAGGAACGACACGACCAACGACACGATATATTAGACACCCCCCTCCCCGCAAAAAGGCAAAAGGCGCCAAATGCTTGAGGGAAGGGGGGCACACCTGCACGCGGAGGAACGTGGAGAGGAGGACCACCCCGTACACGCCCACCACCAGCCTCGCATATGCTGTGCGCCCACCACAAACACACGACATACGACACACACACACACGGTCAGCACTGCCTGCCTGCCGGCGGCAGCAGCAGCGGGGACGGATTGGAACCCAATGGGTGGAGGAGGGGAGGAGCCATGCGACAGTAGTGGCGTGCACTGAGGCCGTAGCAGTTGCAGTGGCGTGGTGGGTTGGTGGTGGCGTAATGCGTTGGTGGGTCGTACTCTGGGTCTTGCAGTGATCCCACAGGGCGTAGCGGTCCTGGCCGTCCTTGGGGGCCTGCTGCAGGCTGCGCACAGTACGGACCGCCGCCACACAAGACACACACACGGCACACGCACGACACACACGGGAGGATGAGGCCACTGCACGTGTACGGCCATGCCACGCTGTTGCCACGACACGACACGGCACTCATGAAGTGGGGTGGCGGGGGAGGGGAGGGTTGCGTGCCTGAGGCGTAGTTCGGTGGGGGAGGGGATGGGTACGAGACGTAGGACGGCGTCGTTGAGCTTGAGCACGAGGGAGCCCACGGTGCCGGCGCACGTGCTCTGTGTGGACTCGAACGCCCCACGCAGCCTGATCGCCCCGCCCCGATCAGCACCACCACCAGCCGCCACCACCAGCCACCAGCCACCACCACCGGAGGAGGAGGAGGAGGCGGGAAGGGCGTAATTCCCGGGTGGGGCGTTTGCAGGAGGGAGGGGGGTACCGCAGGCGGTGGAGGGAGGCTTCCTGGAGCTCGCGGTAGCCGCGCCCCACCCGATAGACCGCATAGGCGGCCACACCACCCGTCACCGCCAGGCACAGCAACCCTGCACGTAGTATTTGTTATGGACTTATATACGTCAAAAACAACTATGTAGTGTGCAGCGTAAGTACCTTTGCGGTGGTCTGCAATGAAGCGGCGCACGCGTTGGTAGGAGCCCCCGACCCATCCCCCCAGCATTCCACCCCAGCCAGCAGCAACGGTGGGAGCCACAGCCTGCATGGTCGTCTCCATCTGATCGTATATGTTTATTTGAATTTTTTTTTCAGTTGCGCCTTTTCTTTCTTCTTTTTCTTTCTTTCTTTCTTTCCCCTCCTTCTTTTTTTTTCACTGGGTCACGGGCCAGACCGGCTCTAGCGCGGGTCGGCTGCGGTGAAGTGTCCGTTGTCCGTCGCAGGACCCGGGAAAGCGGCGGCAGACGTCGTAGTGAGTGGCGCTGGAGAAGGCGGCGATGGGGTGGTGGTGCGGCCAGAAAGCAAGTCAGGCGCCGCGGGACAGGCGAGCGGCAACGCCGCAGTCAAAGCCTCGGCGCGCGCCTCCTGTTCCTCGTCCTCCTTTTTCTTCTCCTCCTCCCGCTGCTGCTGCTCGTGGAGGTGGTCGTGGTCGTCGTGGTCGTCATCGTCCCCCGCCGCGTCGATGGCGCGTAGTAAGCCACTACTACCGTGGTGGGGTTGGCCGGCGAGTGCGGGGAGGAGAGGGAGCAGGGCCGAGGAGGGGAAGCGGTGGGGCTGCTGCTGCTGGGGGTGGTGCTGGGGGTGGTAGCTGGCGATGAGGGCCGTCAGTTCCGGCACGTTGGTGAAGCAGTTCTTCTGCCGCGAACGCTGTTGTCGCGCCGCCAGGTGGAGGTGGACGTCAGGCTTTGTTGCACAGTGGGGGAGTGTGGTGTGCGTGTGCGTGTGTGTGGTCAGGGCAGGTGCATGCACGTACCTGCATGCATTGCAGGATGGTGAGCATCTGTTCTGCCGAGTAGAGGGTGTAGGTGGATCGTCCGCCGAAGATGGACCGGCATTTGTCCATCAGCCGAAAGTCCTGTGATGTGTCGATGTCCGACACCTGCACCACACACCCACCCACACCCACCCACACCCACACAGTAAGCTCCTCGCTCGATCTCGGGTGTGAGGGGGTGTGAGGGGAGACGGCGTACGGCGGCCTTCTTCTTCCAGTAGGAGAAGGTGGTGCCCTTCATGTTGAGGAGGCGGCAGAGCTCCTTCTTGATGAAGAGGGCGCGGTCGTGCGAGTCGAAGAGGACATGGAGAACGAGGCCCGAGCGGAAGGAGTGTGCGAGGGGCGAGGGCAGCTGGAGGTGGGCGGAGGTGCGGAGGGCGCGCCGCTGTAGCTTCATGATGTAGTTCTTGGAGAGGCCCGTCCCGCGGATGATGCCCTCCCGCTGCTCCTTGTCCTCGCTCAGGATCAGCTCCACGATGCGCTCCGCCGACACGCCCGCCGTCGACAGCGCCTCCACCACGTTCCGCTCCACGCCCAGGTCCAAACACCGCTCCACCGCTCGCCGCTCCCGCTCCTCCTCCTCGCCGCCGCCGAAGCCCGCCGCTGGGCCTGGCAGTTGGGGTGCCGTCGCCACCCGGGCGACCATCAGGGGCGGTGCCTCCTCCTCTTCGTCGTACTCCTCCTCCTCCTCGTGGTCGTCGTGGTCGTCGTCCTGGTAGTCGTAGTCTTGATCGTATTCACTGTCTTCGTAGTCCTCGTCTCGAGGGCGGCGGCGACGTCGGCGAGACCCGCGGAGGTGACGGGCGGCCTCCTCTCCACGTGATGGCGGCGCTAGTGACGACGACGACGGTGGTGGTGATGATGATGGCTGCGGCGGCTGCGGCGGAGGTGGTGCCACGTGGTGCCCGTCCAGGAAGGCCACAGAAGCGGACCGCTGCGCCTCGTACGCGGTGGGCGGTGCTGGTGCCGGTGCCGGTGCTGCTGGCGGTGGCGATGGCGGCAGGGGCGGCCGTGGTCGTGGGCGCGGTGGTGGGGCTGCTGGTGCTGCTGCTGGGGATGGCCTTGGGCGCCAACAGGCCGGGTCCTGGCCGGGCGGTGGCGATGCTGCGCAGGCGCTTCAGGGGCGGCAGCGGTGCCAGCAAGGGCGTCACCATCGTCGTCGTTGTCGATGAGGGGCGTGGCGGGGGACTGGTGGGCGCGCCGCCGCGGGTCAGGTAGGGTGCCACCACGCGGCCGAGGGCGGGAAGTGGCGGTGGAGGCGGTGGCGAGCGAACCGCGGGCGTGAAAGCAGGTGCACGAGCGGCGGCGGCGGCGGCGGGCGAGAATTGAGAGGTGTCTGACGGCAAGAGGGGCTGCCCAGGCCTGGCGCCTTGCTGGTGGTGGTGCTGCTGGTGGCGCTGCCGCTGCTGCTGGGGAGGGGGGTGTAGTGGGGGAGACTTGCGCTTGCGCGGAGGCAAAGGGCGCAGTGGCGGCGAAGGCGACGGCAGTGGCGAGGACATAAGTGGCGGCAGCTGAGAGAGCGAGATGAGGCCCTCTACTGCCGCCTCGCGCTGATGAGCCTCAGGTCTGGTGCTGGGCGCCGACCGCTGGCCATCTTCGTGGTCGTCGTGATGGTCGTGGTTGTCATCTGCTGTGGGCCGGGTTGGCGACGACTGACTGTCGCGATGGTGCTGATCAGCAGCCGGATGGTGGAGTGTGGCCTGCATGGGTATGGTGTGGCAGAGGGGTGTGGCAGAGGGGTGTGGTAGTAGATGGGTGTGTGCGCGGCGGGCTGGGTGGCGTGGTTTCCCGCAGGCGATCCCAGCAGCTTGATGATGGTGGGGGTGGGGGATGAGGCAGGGAGAGGTGGGGGGGGAAGTGAGAAGAGCGAGGGAGAATGCGAAGCAACGAAGCGCCCAGACCGCGCCCGTCAGCGTTTTATAGAGAGAGAGAGAGAGACGGAGGGAGGAGGATGAGGTGGCACCACTGAGCTGGGGGCGAGGGGTTCTTCCTCGAAGAGATGGCCGGTGGATGTCGCGGGGAAGACCGGAACTTGAACGTTTGCCCGGGCCAGGCCCTCGTCCGTTCCGCAGAACGGGGGGCGCCGATGAACATCCGCACGGGGCGGGGCGCCGGTGCTCCAGGCGCTTTCCATTTCCGGCCTTGTGCTTGAACATGACAGGCCTGTCACGACCCACCTGACATACCGGCACCGGCGCCTGCGACGCACGATGACACGCTCCTCCCACCCTGGGTGGCCGTGGCCGCCGGCGAGCTGCTAGAGGTCGTAGACACTCAGGTCCTCGTCCAGGCGCCAGCGGCCGGATCCCACCTTCACGAAACTCGCCTCGGAGAGGATGTGAAAGACCGTGTCCACTTGCAGGTCGTCCTCTTGGCCCTCCCTGCCCCCACCCACCCACCAACCAACCAGCCAACCAGCCAACCAGCCAACCAGCCAACCAGTCGTTGGTGTTAGTCTCTCGTATGAGAATAAGAACAAGACTAAACCATTGGACTGGGGGGTTGCGCAAGGGCCGTGGAGTAGCGCGCGCGCACCTGAAGTGGTTCTTCTTCCTCTCGAGTTCCTCGAACCAACGGATACGCATGGTTCCGGGCGTATGGGCCTTCTGTCTCTTTGTTGTCCTCTTCTTGTCCTCGTCGCCCCAGCCACGCACGACTGCGCGCAAGAGACAAACAAGAATAAGAATAAGAAAAATGAAGATTAAATGGGAGGAGGGGTGTGTTAGCGACAGCAGCAGGCGGCGTCGAGAGGTGGTTGGTGGGGGGGGGCAGCAACAACGCGGTACCCCGGGCGAGCCAATACATGTCGCCTGAGGAGGGGTCGGCCCAGCAGGCCACGACCGCGCCCTTTTTGAGCTCCCGCCGGTCGACGTACTCGCTGCCCTTGCCCTCCTCCTCCTCGCCGTTCTCCTCCTTCTGCCGCGCACTTGTCTGCCGGCCTTTGGTGGGCCTCGACGACTTATCGGTCGAAGAAGGGGTTGGAACGTCCGTTCGCTTTTTGAAGTAGGAGAGGATGCCCTCTTCGGCCTCCTCGTCCGCTTCAACGTTGGCCTTGCGCCGTCGCTCATGGGATGTCGCCGTCGACGTCGCCGTCGTTGTCGCCTTCCTCCTCCGCGACTTGGTCGTCGTCGACCGATGTCGGCCGCCCTCAGGGCTTGCAAAGGCTGCCGGGTCGTCGCCGCCGCCCAGGGAACGCTCCTCACGCTTCCGCTTACGGGTCTCGCTGCCTTCGTTTTTCTTGGCCTTGGCTTCTTCGCTGGCCGGGTCCTGAATGTCGTCGCCGTCGTCGTGTGCCTCAGCCTTGACGTCATTGCCCGCCTCCTGCTCTCCGTCGTCTTCGGGCGCCGCATCAGTGGACGGATGATCCTCAGGCGATTCTTCTTCTTCTTCGTTGCGATCCCTCTGGTAGGTGGTGATGAGGTAGTGGGCTACCGATGGATACCCGGCCCTCCTCGCCTTGTGCGCGAGCACCCCCGTGGGAGCCCATCCTTTCGCCGGACGGCAAAATGAGCTGCGACGGGAGGGAGAGCACCGCACAGAAACAACACACACACACACACCGGTAAGAGCTGGAGGGACACAGAAGAAAGAAATGACGAGACCCAACTGGTACCAGTTGCATATGTCGCGGCACACAGGGCACACCCAACCGGGATTGTTCCACGTCTCCTGCACGTTCTCGCCTGGCAGATGTAGATGTGCGGCGGCAGCGTGCAGAGCGGTGAGGACGGGGGAGGGGGGGAGGGAGGGGTTACGTAGCGGCGCGCTGCCGAGGCGGCGACGGAGGAGGGTGTTTCGATGGGAGAGAGGAGGAGGTCGTACCGTAGCGAACCTGGAGGCAAGTGCCGCAGAACTGGCCCGGGATGGCCCGGCACTCGGAGCAGGTGGTCTTCTTGTCGATCGTCTTCTGGCGGCACTGATGGCAGGTCGTGCCACGCACTGGGTCTGCGCGCGTCCAGCCCAAGAGAACAAACACGCGGTCGGTCTAAGGTTTGTTTTTTATACCCCGTGGCGGGGAGAGAAGCGGGAGGTAGTGACGTGCATACCGTAGATCTTCTTTTCGAAAAGGCGAGGGTAGGGCGTTTCGCACGTTCCCAGCAGGAGCTGGCAGGCCCAACCCATACCACACACGACACACACAACACACACACACACACACAGCTAGATTGTGAGCGCGCCTGGTGATGATGGTAGCCGCAGTTCCAAACCTCCCGGGAGACTCGGGGGGTTGTTTTGGGGAGGGAGGAGAGGGGTAACACGGTACGAGGTGCTTTTCGTCGTAGACCTCTTGGCGATAGCCGGCCGAGTGCAGGGAGCGACGGGTGGTGGTGCCCCGAGCGGACCTCGACGAAGAAGGGGAAGACCGCTCGTGGCGGGGCAGCTCGTTGCCATAGTGTTTGGCCTCTTGGCCTTGGAGCCGCGACGAACGCCGGCGCGTAGGGGCACGACCTGCAGAGGCTGTGACGCTACTACGGCCACCGCCCTCGCTGCCATTCGCCCACTGCCGCCTTCGCGCGGCTGTCGCTTCGCCGAAGAGTGCCTGCGACAAGTGCCCAGTCTCACAGTGAGCAAGTCCCGAATCCCGATCGGGAATCATTTGACTACTACTCGCGAATAAACTCGCCATTCCCAGTGTGGGGTGGAGGGGCATGACACGTACGTGCGAGGAATTGAGAAGTCCCAGCTCCAGGAGCTTGGCTTGGTTGGCCGCAATGTTGCGCTGTCTCTCCCGCTCATAGGCCTCCTCATCTTCCTCATTTTCCCCATCTTCCTCGGAGTCGGAGTCTTCCTCCTTGTTTTCTTCACCTTCTTCCCCCAGCTCCCCAAGGGGCAATTCTTCTTTCGAGAGGCGCGGGCCTTCGCTGTCCATCTTTTGTTATCTGTATCAAAACAAAAATTGAAACTCCAGTATGTTCTTTTTTGAGGCCAACAGCAATAAGTGGAAATGGCGCCAAAAACTGTTTTTACGTCGCGGTCATGGCAGCGGGTACGGTGGCGGCCACAAGGGCTTGGCCAGAAAGAAAGGAGCAGTAGTTGTGGAGGGAGTGAGAACGGCTGTGGTATGCTGGAGTCGAAGAAGCGCAAAACCGAGCCCGGCCTCAACACCGCCACACAATCGCCCGACTTGGCGTCGCTCTGGCGTGCCGTCAGCCCCGACGAGGAACAGCTCCGTTTTGTCAGACGCTATGTTCGTGGTAGCGAGCGAGGGCAGCTGCCGGAGGGGAAGGGGAGGGGAGCTGGTCAGAGCAGGACGGGCGAAAAAGGGCGCGATGTTGCGTGTAAGGTGGTGGCTGCTGGTGGCTGGTGTAGGAGTGCGCACCTCTCGCAAGACAGACGGCAACAGGTGATCTCTCTCCAACGATGGTTGGTCCCTCCCGTGCACAAAATCGAGCAATCGCTCTGCGACCCGAAGCTCCTTCTCTCTTGCCTCGTCCTCGGGCGAAAAGCACATGACCGGCATGAGACGTTTCCTGTCGCGCGCGCGCAACGGGCGGTCAGAGCGCGCCAAACAAACCGAGTGACCGACCGACCGATCGATCAACGAGGAGACGAACCGTATGACGCCTGTGTGATGGACGCGTGAAGTGAGCTCCTGACCCAAATAGCAGCCTTTATCGTAGGACACGCCGTTGAGGGCATCTAGATTGCACTCGAGCGGCACCGCCACGTTCTGGAAATCCAACGTCACACACGACACACGCTGTCTACATCAGCCGCAGCACGGTCGAAAGTGCAAAGCATGCGCGTCTCGAAGGAATGCTGTCGGCTTTTGGGAGGGCGCGAGCCAGCATCTGAAAACGTACGGGCTCAAGTTCGTCGATGCCTTCCGGCACGGCGTGCAGGATTCGATGGAGTCGGTACTCTTTGGCACTGGCCTCCGCCAAACCCGGCGGGGGCGCAAAGCTGCTGCTCCGCCGGTGATACACCCGTATGCCCATCGCTGCCGTACGTGGGTCGGCGAAGCAGGGCTGCAGCGCCACGCCCACCCACCCACCCACCCACTTGGTCATGACCATGTCGCGCCGCCGCCAAAGCAGCCGCCACGAGCGGCGGAGGAAAGGGCGAAGAAAAGAAAAGAGCGCCAGAGAGAAGAAAGAGAGGCGGTGAGGCGTGCGCGTACGAGGGAAGGGGCGTGGGACCGCAGGCACTGGAGCAGGGAGTCTCTCGGGCTAGGCGTGGCCTCGCCGGACCCGCCGCCGCTGCTGCTGCTGCTGCTGCTGCTCTGGACGTGGCCACGTGTGAGGACTGCGCCCACTGCCCACTCGTCCGCCGCTGGCCGCTGGGCCGGAGGAGTGATGTCGACGTGAGCGCGAAGGCGGTAGCGGCGCAGGTGCACCACGAGGCCGGGCGCGGCCCGCGCGTCGCACTCCACGAGGAACGTCTGCTCTCCCTCCTGCTGGCCCTGCTGCTGCTGGCCGGGGGGAAGCTGGCACACGAGGGCGTCGGCCAGCAAGCGGCCGGTGGGAGTGAGGAAGGCCGTGTAGCGCCCCTCCTCCCGGCCAGCTCTGCTGGTGGCGGCGGCGGCGAGGAGGTCGTTGGTGGTGAGGCCCTGCAAGAAACGCGCCGCGTCTCGTCCTCGCACCTCCACGATGGCCCTCCCACCCACTTCCCCCACCCACCACCCCAGGGGCGGCGGGGCGGGCTGTTCCAGTGGTGGAGCCTCTCGTGCCACGAGCCAGAGTGGGGCGGCGTGATGAATGCCCCGCTTCCCCACCACGGCGCCTCTCACGACCTCTGTGGAGCGGTACCACGCGCGAAGCCGACCGGCTCGCGACATCATTTTACTGATTGATTGCCGCACTTGTGTCTGATTTTCCTCTTTTTTTCCTTTCAGCATTATTTTTCCATGAAAACGGAGTACCGGTATTTTGCTTTCCTGACATCTGATTCTCCATTCGAATCTCCATTCAACGACGCAAATGGCGACCAGACGACCAGCCGCACGCAAGCGCACCCCGGCACACGCGAGCGAGGAAAAGTTCACTCACCCAGCCAAAAGTTCTCCGCACGGCAGGTAACCCCCCCCCAACGTTCAAGCAGCAGCTATTATTATCATTCTTGTCATTTCGCGCTTGCTCGAGGGTGGACTGCAGTGCGCTTAAAGGTGTGGGGCTTGTGATGCTGGGGCCGTTGGGTGGGTGTGCAAGCAGGGCGAGGGGACCCGGAGCCCAGGTGCCAGCTTGGGGCGGGAACACAGTGTCAAGGCTCGAGGCTGCGCAGAGGGGCATGGACGAGGAGGACGTCTTGCTCGACAGCTACCTGAGCTCCCTGAAGCTCGCACGCAAGCACACCCCCAAAGACGGCGCTTGCCTGGTACGTACCCGCGCCTCTGCCTCTTCTCCGCTTTCCCAAGCCCCCCCCTCCATTTATTTTTATTTTTATATTATATTATTTTTTTTATAGAATGTCTCGTCCCACCACCACACATGGCGCTGGTGGTGGTGGTTGCCGGCAATGCAAATGTCAACCAAAACCAACTCCACAAAAATACAACAGTTCCGGGCGGTGGCGGAGCACGTGTACCACACGCAAGCGCTGCATGGGGTGGTGCGAGAGGAGTGCGTCGAGTACCTTCAAGAGCACCACAAAGACTTTGCCGCCTTCATCTGCGTCAATGGCCGGCCCTACGACGACTACGTCAACAAGATGCGCAAGCCCACCACGTGGGGCGGCGAGGTGGAGCTACAGGCCCTGTCCAACCGCTACCGGTTCCCCATCCCCCGTCCCCCGTTCTCCCTTTTTCTTACTATTACTCTCTTACTATTAGTCTCTCTCTCTCTCTTTGTGTGTGTGTGTGGTGTGATGTGTGTATTGTGTGTTGTGTGTGTGCTGTGTTCGCCCTTTTGGTGGAAGACAACACAAACTCATCTCATCGGTGTGTGCTCTGGTGGCTGCTGCTGTTTGGTGGCTGCTGGTGGTGGGGTTCGTGTGGCTGGCAGCGCCAATTTTGAGATCTACCAGCTGGGCGAGCAGGTGATGAAGATCGACAACGGATTCAGCACCACCTACCAGCTCTGCTTTTCGCACGGCAACCACTACGACATCGTGTACCCCGAGGTGTGTCATCCATCCACCCCCCCCCCATCACTCCTCTCGCCGTCCCGCAGCTGCTGTTTCCCCTCCCCATCACCACGCCTGTCTCTGCTCTGCTCTGTTCTCTCACCGGGTCGTGAGCTCCCGTCCCACTCCTCGCGTGTGTGTTCCTTGGTCCACGTGTGTTGGTTGGCAGAGTGTTCACTCTATCTATCCGCCCCCCCCCCCACAGCGCACCATGAATGCCCTGGCCCTGTGCCAATCCCTCGTCTACGACCTCGTGAGCCAAGCGCAGCGGCGCAGCGGCGGGCCTCCTCCTGTGGCCTCCTCCGCCGCTGCCGCTGGCGGTGATGGCTGGACGTATCGGAATGTGGAGCTGGAGTGCTGGATCGAGGAGAGCCGGAAGCAGGAGATGGAGGACATCCTGCTCGCCCAGACCTTGGCCCTCAACGGTACCCCCCCTTCCCCAATTCCTCTGGGGGGGCTCCTTCGCGAGCGGATGCTGAACCCTCCCTCCCCCCCCATTTCTTCCCTATAATATTCTTCTTCTTCGCGCGCCAAAAGGGGCCGGCACGCAGTACAACGGGGTTGGTGGGGCCTCTTCGTCGCCGACTGGTGATGGCGAGGGCGAATTCCAGCGCGTGGGGAGCAAGAAGAAGAAGAAGGCACCCCTCGTGTCCAACACGCACAGCTTCCCCGTGCGCATACCCCCCACCCCCACCCCCACTCACTCCCATCCCGCCGCAGCTGAGGCCGGCGTGGCACAGCCCCCGACCCAAGAGGTCTGTTATGTTCCTGATCTGATCTGATCTGGTGTGGGGTGTGGTGTGGTTGGCTTCCTGGTGTCTTGGTGTGTACCACCGTGTGATGTCACAATTGTCCTCGAGGGCAGGCCCTCAGGTCCAGGCCGGTGGCGGCAGCGGTGGCCCAGCCGGTCGCGAGCAAGAGCAAGGCGCCCGAGTACCGTGGCCCCTCCTCCGTGGAGCACGTGTTCCGGACTGTCGCCGCAGAGGAGTCCCCCTGGGTGCTCAAGCGACGCCAGCAGCAGCAGCAGCAGGAGGAGGAGGAGGAGGAGCGCAAGAGGCAGCAGCAGCGGGAGGAGGAGGAGGAGCAGGCGTCGGCAGCAGCAGCAGCAGCACCCCCCACCCGGCTCGCCGCCAACGCCTCCTCTCCCGCCGCTGCTGCGGGGTCCGAGCGGAAGCAGAGGACCCGCAAATCGCCCGACAGCACGGCGGCGGGGCACGGCGCACCCCACCAGGGCCGCCCGCCTCGCGACGCAGCCCACCACCTACCACGTGGCGTGGCTCGCGACCGCACGGCCCAGCCCGCGGCGTCCTCGGCCTCCGCCTCTGCAGGCGCCGCGTCTCCTTCTGCTGGCGCGAGCACCACCACCACCACGACGACGACGACGACCGGCAACGGCGCCCCGCCTCCCTCTTCGTCTTCCTCCTCCACCACCGGCACCACCGGCATTACCAGCAACACCATTACCAGCACCACCACCAGCAGCAGCGGTGCCGCCGCCGCCGCCGCCGCCAACAAGTGGGGAGCGAAGAAGGACTGGAAGCAACACCTCGAGTCCGCCCCGCCACGAAAGCCCCCCACGGATGGATCCAGTCACCCACCCGCCTCCGCCTCCTCCTCCGTGACGACCTCGGCGTCGTCTTCGTCCCCGCACGCTGCCGCCGGCAGCTCGACCCACCGCTCCTCGAGTCCTCCCGCTCGCGGCAAGCCAACTGCGGGTGCTGCTCCGTCGGCAGGTCGCGCCCCGTCGCCGGCCACCGCCACTGGCAGTGGCAGCAGCAGCCGCAGCCGCCGCCCCTCCTCCGCTCCGCCGCAGCAGCAGCAACAGGAGCAGGAGCAGCATGCTGCCCACGTTGAAGGACCTTCTTCCTCCTCGCGCCAAGAGCCGTCGACGGCCGCCTCTCCTCGGCCTCCCGAGGGGGACGTCACTGCCCCTCTCCCGCCTGCTGAGCTCCAGAAGCTGCCATCATCGCCGCCGCCATCAGCTGCCGCCTTCACGACGCCTCCTGCTGCTTCCACCGCGCCCTCGTTCACCTGGGCCGCCCTCTTGAAAGCCACCGCCACCGCCACCAAGAAGTCCCACCACCAGCACCACCACCACCAGCAGCAGCAGCAGCAGCCTGGCGTTGGCGCCACCGGCGGCGGCAGCAGCAGCAGCAGCGCGATCGAGCTCTCCTCTGCGGGCGGCAGTACAGCCTCGTCGTCGTCCGGCCGGGCTGACGGGGCCTCCTCCTCGGACCACCCCGCCACGGCGCCTGCCGACGTCGAGCGCGTTCCCGTGCTGCTGCCCCAACAACAACAACGACGACAACAACAACAGCAGGCCTCGGCAGACGCCCCCTCCCTCGCTGGCCAGCAGGAGCGGCAGCAGCCCGCCATGAGGTCCGTTAGTGGACCACCCAAGCGACAAAGGGACGAAGAGGTGAAGAATGATCACGATCACGAGGAGGAGGAGAAGGAAAAGAAGAAGGAGGAGGAGAACGAGGAAGGCCGGTCGTCGCGCAGCCCTCGCGATGAGCGGAAGAGCCGAGAGCCGGAAGCGGCAGGTGCCTCGCGGCAAATTGAGGCTCCACCTGGTGGACCCCAGGGCTCTTCCGGACCCAAAAGAGCAGCAGCGACGACGACGACGCCATCGGCCAGCAGCAGCAGCAGCAGCAGCAGCACGGTCACCGGCGGCGGCGGCGGGCCACAGGGGAACCCCGGGCCTGGCCAGAGTGCGGCCAAGTACTCGCCCTCGATCCCGCTCTACCTGGGCGGACACGTCATGGTGGCGCCCGACGAGGACACCGAGAGGGAGGCCTTCCACGTCCCGTTCTCCTTCGGCGCCTTCCAGCAGCAGCCGGCCAAGTCGTCGTCGTCGTCGTGCGCCGGCGCAGCATCCAAGGTCGTCGTCGAAGGCGTCGACCTGGAGGGTATCGTCAACCTGGACATCACCTTCGGCGACTTTGGTGCTTCCTCCTCCTCCTCCTCCTCTGCTTCTCCTGTCGCCGCCGCCTCCGCCAGCCCCTCCGCCAACCACCCCAGTGCCGCCGCCGCCGCCGGGGTGGCGTCATCCAACGCCAGCAACAGCAACAACGGGGCTGTGCACCTTCTGCCCGAGATGCACTCTGATACGCCCAGCTCCAACCACCAGCCGGTCCTCACCAGCGGCAGCGGCAGCAGGAAATACGCCGGCGCGCGCCACGTACCCAAGTTGGCCTCCTCTGGGGCCAGGGGCAGCAGCACCCACGGCGTCGAGCGAGCCAAGGGCGCGCGGGGAGGCAAATATGCCTCCGCCGTCCCCGCCAACGGAAATCACCAGCAGCAGCCCCACCACCACCACCACCATCATGCAGCTCCGTTGCAGCAGGCCCGACGGGGCGGAGGCAGCGCAGGGCAGCACTACTACGCCCCGGGAGGTGTACACCACTACGGCGTGCCCTACGGCACTGCCCACCACCACCACCACAACCACCACCATCAGCAGCAGCAGCAGCAGCATCCCCATCACCCCCATCTTCATCCTCATCAGTCGCCTCCTCACGTCTATCACGCCTATGCGCCGCCGCCGCCACCACCTCATGGCGCCCAGTCGCCGCCCCCTCACAGCTACCACGCCCCCTTCCATCAGAGCATGCCCCCCTACGCCGACTACCCCGTCTACTACCCGCACCACCACCATCCGCACCACCCGCCTCCCCCCTACGCCGCCGAATTCGTAGGCCCTGCCGGTACACACACGACACGACACACACACACACACGACACACCGCACACGTGTGTGTGCCGGTTGTGCATAGTTCTTTCGTTCTGTCTTGTCTTACCTTTGATCTTCTACTCTTCTTTCTTGGGCGCCTGCCAGGATATGGCACTGGTGGATATCCGCCCTACCACCACCACGACGTGGTGGATCCGTATGGGGTGGCACCGCACTACGAAGGCGGCTACAATCCGGCGTATGACCATGGTACCTTGTCCGTCCCTCTTCTTTCCTGCAACAGAGCACTGAGCGACGGTCATACAGCGGCAGGGTTGGAGAGCTTCGAAGAATACCCGGAAGAGGCCTTCGTGGCACCTCACCACTACAATGCTGGGCCATCACCACACGAAGACTCAGCCCTTTCTGACCCTGCTAGGGAGGTTGAGGAGCAGTAGGGCGGTGGCACGTGCAAGTCAAAATAGAGTCTGCTCGCCTTCCCTCCATCAATCCGGCGTTGACATTGGAAACACAAATTGGGACTGAATGGGTGGAACGGGAGTGTATTGGAAAGCCCACACACACACACACGAGCAGCCAAGGGCACCGCAACCACCGAATGGAGCCATGGGGGAGGAGACTTAAGCCTTGTTGGTGCGGAAGTGCTCAAGCAGGATCTCGAAGGCGGGCGAGAGCTTCTTGAACTCGGAAGTGACCACCACGCACGAGCAAGCGACGACCTTGCGGGGGTGACCCTCATTGTCGATCTTGCAGAGACCAGCCCACTCGCCAAGCTGCTTGGAGTCAGGGACCTTGATGAGGTTGATGTTGTGCTCCAGGCAGAGGGCCTCCACGAGCTTGATGTAGGCGGGCTCAGTGCAGTTGGCAGCGAGGGCGCAGAAGTGGGCCTGCCTCCTGTCGAGCACCTTGGCACACTCGTGGAGACCACGAGCGAGGGCATCGTTGACCAGCGCAGTCTTGAGCACCTCCTTGAGGGCGGTGAGGACGTCCATCTTCTCGGGGACGGCGGGCTCGGCAGCGGGGGTGGTCTCGGTGGCGACCTCCTCCGTCTCCATAACTTGCTCGGTGTCGGACATGATGTTCTTGGTGCTGATCGATAAGCTTAGCTCGCAAAGGTGGTCCTCGCTAAGAGTAGATCCTCACGTAGACGATGCAAAAAGAAGAAGGAAAAAAACCGCACAGGCCAGACGCCTACTTTTTTCCGGCGTCGCGTGCCAGGATTTATCTGCCCACGAAAAAGGTGGTGGTTGCCGTTCGCCACGCAGCAGTTGTGAGCAGGACCAAGCATGGGCGACCCCACCAGACGCACCATTCGATTGGATGATCTCATCTTCAAGGCAACGGATGCCCTTCTCATTGGCCCTGACTATGCAGCCATCATGTATCCCCACCACCACAGTTCCTTGCACAATGCATCATCTGAATGCTGAACCCATCCTCACCAACAAAGGCAAATATGCGACGTCCTGAACAACCGCAAGGAGCGCGTG